ATTTGTGTGAAGTTTCTTTTACACTTTTTACTAGATAGACGAAAGCAGGTCGAAATCGTGAAGTTTCGGCAAGGATCGGTTCGATTTTGGCTACTCACAAGTTAAAACAGTAATCGATGGTTGCCACTGGGGACAACTGTCTAGTAACATTGGAACGAATCCAATTCTCCAAATAATCACCTCATTCTTCATTCAACGGTCATACGTGGCTACAAAAAAAATGTACTTCCCACGGGTCGATGGGCACTCCTGGTACAATCACATACAGTTTTTGTTACATTACTCCATTATGGTCGCGAAGGGTGGCCACAAAAAGTCGCCAGGGCTGTTCAGCTGATGAGAGAGGTGTAGAGAAGTTCCCCATGGAGCCAAATCTGCCTCCGAGTACCGGTAGAAGTCGAGCTAGAAGCGTGACGACCTTGACTTCCCTGAAGTTGGAACCAGTTGTGGTCTCGATGGTCGAACAAAGTCCAATGGCCAAGTGGGACCTGCCCAATGGACCTTGAAAAGCGGTTGATTTGCTTCTCTATGAACCGAACTTTTTGCCTTACTTTAATGACTGGACCGAAAACAAAATAAAAATGTAAATAATAAATAAACCAGTCAGCTCGATGGTTCAGCTTTCCTTCGTGTAATGTAGGCTCCCTTATCAAAAAGTTTGGCTGAGTACGTGCAACGGTTCATGAATGATTTCCGAAGGGATTGTCACGCAGGTGCAGATTCCAGAGCGCTTCGAAACGCGTTTTTCCTGGTGGAAAGGTTTTTTTGAACCCTCACCAGAATAGTTCCTTTTCGGCTGAGGGAATCGAAGGAAGAAACAACAGCTGTTTCTGCCTGTATCAAAAATTCGTTCCCAGCACCAAATTCCCTTAAGATGTAGTGCCCAAAAAGACTGGCACGACAGACCACTGGCTTCACGAAATCATTCCTCCTAACTCTAAACAAGGCGGAAGTACACGGCTCATTCCTCAGAAACAGTAGAAAGGACAAGTTGCTCTCATTCGCCTTCCTCTTAAGAGTGAGCCGTGCCCTTCCACCTTGTCCAGAGTCGTAGAAGCGATTCATGCCTGGAACACGACGACTGATTCCAGGAAAGATTTCCGACGCCTGCTGTACCGATATTTTGCTCTCCGGAATTGATTGAAGGGAGAAAGATTTCCGACGCCTGCTGTACCGATATTTTGCTCTCCAGAATTGATTGAAGGGAGGGGAGGCTGCTCCGAGCTGGGGGGATCTGATCCCGATGATTGTTCAGATATGTTTACGATCATCAGCTGTTGCACCCGTTCCGGAACATAATTGGAATGCAAACAGATTAGTCACAGTTTATTTACTACGTAGTATAGCGCTCTATTGATGGGCGAGAATAAAAGGGCCCAAAAGAGTAACACTCTGTGCAACACGTTTGTAAACAAAGTCCAGCATTGAAAAAACTGTCTTTCTGGCGACTGTCCTTCCCTGGTAACCGCTAACCTTAAAAGGTGTAACTAAATAGCTTTGTTAATGAGTAAAGCGTTTTAGGGTATTTACTGTGACTCCGTTCCAAGAAGTTTGAACTTGTGAGACCGACCTATACTTGAAAGTTTGATAGTTTCCTGTTTCAGGACAACCAAAGTGGACTTTTGCAGGCATTCTTATCTGCACTACGAGCAGAACCCCTCCATAAAAGTGCCATCAGGAAGAGTCCACATAAATCGTCATTATTCAATAACAATACATGACAATGTTGAAATTGTGGTACCGTAATTGTTTTCCTTCTGGGACCTAGCGAATCTTTTTCAGTAGGACCATAAGCGTTGGATGGCAATGTTGAAATCGATCTACTGTAATTGTTTTCCGTCTGGAACGCCATGAATCATCCTAAAGGGAACCAGGACCTTGTGAAAGAGGCCCAGAATCGAACATGAGGAAGAGGTTCAGTCACGAGGTGAGGCTGTGATGAGTCAGGTCGTATGACTTGGTCCATGACTTGGCTGTGGCATCGGTGAAGGCCTTAGCCCAGCTAAACTACCAATTCGTCTTCTACTGGTTGGAGAAGTAGATAAAAGTAAAATGACCACACCTTTTATAGCTCTGGCAGTGCTGCACTTCCTTGCTATACTGATAATTCTTCCTCCAGATAACGCCGAAGATCAATATCTGTGGTTTTGGCTACTTTTAAGGTAAACATGAATAAATAGTAACATTAAAAAACACTTGGAGAAAAAATATCTATAGTCATAGTGAGGACGCCTATTTGAAGGCATATCAATCAAGATATACTAGTTTAATCTTACAGAATAGAACCATAAACCAACTTCTTACCAGAATCCTCTTCAGGGAATTCTACCGTCGCGGTTCCTGGTCAAAAGCCATGAAATAACTGTTTCAAGTATAAGGACCTCGTAAGTAAGTCCCTCAGTGTGAGGATAAGAAATAGAAAGGAAAAGAAGCCTCTAAAAATGAAGGATTCGTTCAAAACGATGAAGTCAGTAGTTTGAACCAATCACACCAGGGTGCGCCACGCACTTGCCCTTCATCTGCGAACGTGTGTGTGTGTTTGGAAGCGTACTTCTCTGCTGACTTCTACAATCAGAAGTAGAAATGGCCAAGGAGCTGCCTCCATTGGAACCCGATTTATAACCACCCAACTGCTCCCAGGTTGATGGAAACCAGGTTGATCTAAAACAGTTATATTTGCTGAAGTGGAACAATCTCTGCACTACAGCTGTTCAAATTTGAATAATTTTTTTGCAAAAAATGTAAACATACTCACCAAGCATTTTACATAAACAGTAGGGGAGTAAAATGGTAGTAAATACAAAGATACAACAACAACAGATAAATAATCTACTTTTGATCATACTTTCGGGAGAGTAAAACTCCGTGGAATATCAACATTCCAGCGAGCTCGGACCGCCCTGGAACTATCTTGCGTAAACATCTCAAACAACAGTTTTTTTTTCTTTTTTTTNATACAATTATTTCAACTCCCTTTATTTTGAATTACTCCTGTAACCCTTTACTACTTTGTTCCTTGGATTGCCATTGATTTTCCACTTTTATTTGTATGCTGTTTGCTGTTCGTTGTGCTCTCGGTCTTATCTTTCGCTTCCTCCGCCTTTGTTTATTTGCTCGTAGGGCATGTGGAATATTGATACTTATGTTTGTATATATGTAATGTATGTATAAATTCTAAATATATCGAACACAATATGTTTATGGTAAACAACGGTTTCTATAATAGTAAGTGGGATTAACTTTACAACCCTTATATTTCTAGTTAAGTCGGTTTGATTAATATAATCGGGCGAAGATGGAGCAGTAGGAACTTCCCCTGCTCAAAGAGTCTCAAAGACTTCGTTCTTAAAGTTCGGGAACCCATCACAAGATCGAGTCCTCCCCCAGTCAGCCATACCCCCTTCCCTTCCCATTACTTCAGAGTTGTTTACTTGAAACCCCCCAGAGTTTACTGAATAGGACCGGTAGGCTTCTAAGGAGCACCGCGATCCTCATTCAGTGGCCTAATGCATGGCGCATCACAGAAGGAAGTTTGAGTAAATCTGAACTTTTTACTTTTGCTCCGTCCTACTCATAGGAATCTACTCATTTTCTTCCCCTTTTCACACCTTCCCTGTCCATTGCGCTTTGACCTCCTGACATCTGTTCGAATTGACACCTCCTGTACATTACTACTTACAGAAAGTACTAGTCAGATTGTGGGTCTGTCCATTTACGTTTCATTACTGCTTTGCACAATTGAGAGTAATGATGGACGGTCAACCACTTGACTGACCGTCCATCCATTACTCTCAGGATACTCCAGTCCCAAAACGAATCGCAAAACGGTCTGAAAGATGCTCGGCTCTTACAGTGTACTATAAGAGGAAATCGTTTTACTAGTAAGTAATGTCATTCATCCACAACTATTTCGTACTATGATGATAGCGGTGACTAGTCGGATCGTGCAGGGTTTGATTCATCCATTAATTATATGGAGGCCATTCGCTGCCTTACTACTTAGCCTATGCCCTTGTTCAATACTATTACTACTTGAGCAGCATTATAATAGTAGCGCTTCCTCCAGCCCTGAATCCAATATAGTTCGTGACAGTTATTTTACATTTAAAATTTTCCCTATAAATTTCATCTACGGCAAGCTTCCTACTGTAATGCCCTCGGCATCGATATTATAAGCCTCGAGTAAATTACCTGTCATGCTACTATGTTCCCAAAGTAATTCAAGTAACAGGAAGTGAACAGGAACAGGTTCACTTTACAATACCGAATACTTGGCGATTTTCCATGTTTTACGCGTGAAACGAAGAGGGTGTAGTGGCGAGTCGCGCTGCTATTGCGCAACTGGTGCAAGGATCAAACCTAGGATAGGACTTTTCCTCATTTCAGAAGACAAAAGCGCAAGGTTTCACAGGGGACTATTCTACTATGTTATTCAATGAGGTGAGATCGAAGAAGGGGTCCGATTTTAAGTGAAACCTTCAAGATATGGGCTGATCAAAGGGTAGTCTCTTATTGCATTCTGTTTCTGTACGTGTTCGTTTTTGTGACAACGCCTCAAGGACCACTTATCATCAATCAATACGATGGTATTACTGTTTTTGTGACGTCATCAACTTCAGGACACTTATCATTTTTCTGCAATTACCAGGTAGCAGCTATTCCACTGCCGCTGCTATCTGATATTTTTCCCCACACGACTGTGAGATAAGCTGAGTTGGTTGAGTGGTCGGTTGAAGTAAGAGGTTGGTACGTGGATTGACGTGTGTGCGACGGACCGACCGACCGACCGACGGACGGCGGACAGTCAGTCGAACGGCCTTACGGCCTTGACCCAGGTTGCCGCGGGGTGGTGGATGGGGGCATGGGTCGTCGTCGGTCGGTGGGGGTGAAGGGTGAAGAAGGCTATGGAGGCGGGGGTGTGTACGTGTGTGTGTGTGTGAGTCTGTCGACACTGTGTGAGACAGTCAGGCAGCGAGTGCGAGAGACGAGGGAGTACAGGGATGACGGACGACAAGCATTACGACGCAACGCATGAGGGAGGTAAGGGAGGAGACACCAGCGACGACCGTCGGCGGCCATGGCGGCGGCGGTCGGTCGGTCGGACTCCCTCCGCGCTCAGCGCTCGGGTGGGGTGGTGGTGGATCGTTTGCACTGTGCACAGATAATAGGTGCCCGCGGCCAATAATCGATCGAGCAAATAATGGAGAGAAAGAGCGACAGCGCTCCCTCTCGGAGTGTCTCGCTTCCCTCCTCCGCCTACTTCTTCCTACAACTCGTCTTCTACCACTTACTGTACAGTACACCCTGAGGAGTAATACTGCTTGATCATGACACCAACAAGCAATCACGGAAAGATCACATCACAGACAGCGTTGACATAAAAGACAGCTTCCCAGAGAGTTCCCACATGGGCACAAAGGTCCTACAAAAACTCGGTCTCTGAAGGAAATGGTAGGGGCTAGGAGGAGTTCAGTGAAGGAGAAGACGCTCGACGTCCACGCATGTCGATGACCTTTGGTAGGGTGATCTGATGGCATCTGTGGAAATGTCATCTGATGTTCAGATGTCATCGTAGATGCATTGTTGTGGGGTCGAGAAGGGCTTACAGTCAGTCTGGGCCGGGCTGTTCAACGCTGGGCGATCAGCTGTTCGACTGATCAGCTTGAACGGGCTGTCGATGTTGATGTGATCGTGGAACGAGACTGGTGGCATGGGACCCATGGGCTATCGGTATGGGGATCGGTCCCGGGTCAGGTTGAGTGCCAAATAGATGAAGTGAGAAATGCCGATGATTACCCCGGCAGAGCGGGGTATGACCCGGGGCCGACCTTGCTGTCTGGGTCTCCCGGATCGCGCGCTATCTATTGGCGCGCTGTTCGCCTGCGAACGAGCGAGTGTCTTGCCTCGCGGCATTCTGCCTGTACCATACAGCGGCGATTGGTCGCTCCCTCTTCCGACGTCATGTTAATACTTACAAGTCAGAAGGATCGCTCTGTGATCGACCGTATTGGAACGGCTTTACGAGTCGCTCAAGAAGGTGCATTCAGTCCTACACTAACTGAATCACCTGAACCACCAACATCTCCCAGTCATCTGAAGCGTGCCGCTGCATCTACTCTTGATTCGGCTACCAGTAACAAGAAAGTCCGTTTTGAAGCCGAAACCGAAGACGATCTCTCGGATTCCGACAGTAGCTCACTTCAATGCGCTACCGAAGAGACTACCAGTACCGGATCCGTAAGCCCTCGTGTTCATCCGATTGGTTCAGTTTGTCTCGATGATGTATTCTGTTCGGTTCCTGGTCGTCTATCACTTCTCAGCAGCACATGTAAATACAAAGTTACTCTGGCTGAGGTAAGTAAACCTTTAGTAAAACCTTCTCGTTGCCCTTTGGTCTCAAATCATCTACATCATGTTCCTTTCAAGAATTACCTATGAAAGAAAGTGGTTTGGTCAGTTATAGTCATGTCTGTGGCGGTCTTTTGATCCCTTCGTTGACCCACCTTCAAGGTCTTTCCCATACCACCCACGATGAGACGCTATGACTTCCAGCGATTTTTTTTTTTAATTTCTTGTTTCAAATAATTTTTTCACTATGGGATATACATCGTTTTTCAAAGATCTTTTTAGCCTTTTCCATGGCTACTCTAAAGCCTTAATACACCCAATTTGGAGACGACCTCATGAGAAATGGGTGCGCGGCCTTCGCATAATGTTTTGTGGAGGCATGCGCAGTAACAGAGCATTCCCATGTGGGAGGGCACCAGACAAAGACCTTGGGGCGCCGCCCCCGGCGGCACGGGGGTTACCTATTATTACCAGAACAGTTGCACAGTGTCGATCGATTGGTATCGATATTAGGAGATGGTGTATGTCAACGAAATACTGTCCGTCAAGGTTCACTCAGATAATTATCGTAGATCGGTGGTCAGAGCTTTGTCAACGCCGCACATGGGAGGGGGTGTGGGTTGAGAGGAAGGGAATGGAATGGGAAAAAAGTGGATTGGGAAGAAACTAAATGGTCTTTAAGTGAATCCTGTAGGAATTCGATGGTTCTCTTTCAGATACAAAGGCGTCTTTCACCTCCAGAGAATTTGAATGCATCAATTCTTGGTGGGATACTTCGACGAGCAAAATCGAAAAATGGTGGCAAAGAATTACGAGACATGCTAGATAAAATGGGTCTCAGCCTACCAGTCGGTCGCCGCAAATCAGCTACTGTTACACTACTTACATCTCTAGTTGAAGGTATTGATTTGTGTTTGTATGTGTAGATGAAATAGGTCATTCTTCTCCTACTCTCTCTGTTGTGGTTCTTGCTTCCTGCCTACTGTCAGTCACCATCCCACGGTTTTTCCAGGTGAAGCCACACATCTCGCCCGTGATTTTGCCTTCATCACTGAGACCGAGTTTCCAGCTGCCAGCCTCGCTGCTCGTGTCACCGATCAGCATCGTATCAATAATGAAAACATGCAGAGACGTAAAGAGTGTCTGTCGAATGCTGTGTGAGTGAGGGCGAATGGGACGGTCTGGGAACCCGAGGGCCTCGTACTTGAAACCGCTATTTTCAGGCAGATTCTCCAGGAATTCGTGGATGTACTGAGTCTGTCATCGCTGGGCGACGTGGTGAGCCCCGAATCAATTCAGGCCGATCTTCAACATTTCAGTCTATGCACCCATGGATTTGGTGCCCCGGCAATGATTGCATCAATACAAGCATGTCTCAAGTTAGTCCCCCTCCTCCGTGTGCACGTGCTAAGTGTGACTGGAATTCGTGCTCATTTCCGATTTCCGATTTCCGGTAGCACCCGGCGTTCCAATCATTCTTGTCACTTGCAATGCGANAAAAAATAAGAAATTTAATAGCCGATTTTTTCAGATATGTAAAAGCGTCTGTAGAAAACCTTACTCCAGTAAATACGGTTCCCGCTTTGGATCCCGACGAGATCGACTTGGCGGCTCTCTATCAGAAAATACAAATGAAGGGTGTGGATTCAAGTGTCATAAGAAGTGTACTTAACACTCCAACAATGTTTAATATATCAAATATACCCAAGTAAAAAATAGTAAATACATTTAGTAAATGTGTTGTTTTGCTTTGTTGTCATACACCATAATACTAATATCATTTCAATAATTAATCCACATAGTTGGATAATGTATTCATTGAATAATTGTATTTGGCAAGTTTTATCACTTATTATTATTCACATGAAGCTGTTCAGCTCATATTCATGAGTTCTTTACTTTTTCTGTTCAGTAATCATGTGAACTGTTTGATTTTTGGTCGTGTTTCAATCGTTTTTTCGATGTTTTGTTGTTCACCATTGGATGGCCCAATAGGCTCATCGAGCATGATGTACCACCCATGATTACTATACTACGTTACTACTTTATAATATGAATGTGCATGTTGTATTGTATCCCCCGAATTCACTCTCATTCACTTAACGATGTCTGCCTTTTACTCTCATTATTATGTCACTTTGAAACTGTTTTTTTCGTTTTTTTTACGGGATTGAATGCGCGTGTTTAGCATCAATTTTCTGCCTTAGTTTATGTTATTACGTGTTATCACAGGATACTCTTCAATATTAGTTTTCCAATCTCGTTATGTCATCGTCGTCAAAAAAAAGGCAAATCCGCCCACTTCTTCATTCACATTTCATCTATATCCACATGAACTTTGGAGTTTATGTATGTATGTGTATCGAGCGCTGAAAATTTGTTCTATCGATCTTAGCCGACGGCACACACACCTACCCACATACACACAGACACCCACCCACACCGACAATCACCACACTCGAGGTCACATCGTCTAAAGGTGGCGGAATCATCGTGTACACACACACAATAAGAAATGCTGGAACAGATTCCCGACAGACCATTGAGTTTTCCCCGCAATGGCCTCCATTACCGAACAATCACAAGCAGTTGGGACACGTCCATGAAACGGTAGAATGGAACACGGGAATACTTCAAGGATATACCGTACAGACATAAAGTTACCTCGATATTGATTACCTGACCTGAGCAGGAGGTCATCATCAAATGAAAAGATAAAACTCATAGGAGGAGTTGAACATAAGAGGTTTCATTGGAGTGTCCTCCATTTTGGTTCCCATTGGAAGTTCCTATTGGATTTACCTTCATTTTGTTGGACCCTTGACTGTGAGATCATCGATGTGTAACACTTTCTTTTTACACAGTTACACATCAAATACAGTCAGCTATGAATAAGCAATGCAAACAATCGAATGTCATATCGATTCCGAATAAAAGTCGCGCGCATGGCGCATCCTGAAATAACGGTGATACTGCGAGCAACTAGCGTTTAATGAGAACTAAAAACTTAGGTTTATACCACTGTTAATTGTTATTTGTTTATCATAAACGTGTGGGAAATCCTCAGACATGATAGGAACAGATCAGAATATCGATTGATTCGTGTATTGCACGATTATCGACCGATGGCATGGCTCTTACCACAACAGGCCCTTCGACTACAAAAACTTACTAACGTACTTCTTAGGTATCAATTAAATGTAACGGTTTCATGCAAACTGAGACCCAGTGAAAGTGGTCAAGAACGTTACACGGTTGTTCTAAAAAACTTTTCTCGAATGATAAATGACAATTTACTTTTAATGTTTAAGAATTCGGTTACACGACAGCTATTCGTGGTGTGTCAGAAGGTTCTCCAGACTGCGATAAGGGAAATTGCACGAAGTTCGATTCATGAATTACTCATGGGCCAGTGCCGCTTCAGCTCCCAAATACCTAAAAGTTGTAAAACAGGTAGAAACGGTGGTATCGTCTCAGTGCAGATGCTCGAAGTTGGAAAGTTTGGATTAGAACCATAAATGGATATGGCTCTCCCGTTAATCAAATCCATTTTTAGGATGAGCCTCGCACTAGACTTGCATTCTGCTTCATATTAGCGTTTTGAAGGTTTGTAGCCTATGCATTGGATTGTCTTGGCAACCCATGTACATACAAGACAAGGCTTTTATCCTACTAAAGGAGACTGTTATCAATCCACCCATCACGGAGGAGTTGAAGGTTCGGTTGGCCTGGACAGGAATCGGACCGGGAATAGATCCCCGGACCATGCGTGTGATTGTGCGCTTCATGGCATTAACCATCTAGATCTCAATAAGAACCTTTTTGGTAGAATTTTTCACAATCATTTCAGCAATGATACCCAAATTTTTCCGTCTCGAAGTAATTATGCATTTTTAAGTTGCATGAAGTCTACCTAGATTAACCCTGTATATAATAGCTTGTATTTAATAACCACTGCTGAAGTTCACCCAAAATGCTTCCCTCGGCTCAAAATAGACATGCCTTCTACGTTTCTGAAAGAAATGAGGATTAGGGGATTGCACGGTTCTTCTTCTCCATAGATTCCAAACAACTCAGGGAAATTCGACTTCCGGTTGATCAGCATGATCCCTGCTTCAGCGATGGCTGTAAGGCTTCCGAAATAGAAGTTTTCAAGACCACTGCTTTCAGTGAAAAGAGCAGATTTGTTTTGGAAAAGTTTTTCTGTAAAGGTGGTCGGCTCAGCAGCTGTTGCAGGAAGTTTCTGGTTGTTATCAGTAGCGAATCCCAAAAATGGCGTGGGAACAAGCAGATGTATGGTTTCTTATTCTTGGATTATTCTTGGGTTGATTACAAGGAACCCAAATTATCTGATGGGACAAACACTTGTAATACTTACCGTTCAACCACTTTTCAACCACCTTGCCGTTCACCTTCTTCCTCCCTCTTTCCAGCCACCTCCTCATCTTGCACCCTTCTTCTAGGGGTAGAGGCTAGTCGCTATTGAGGAACAGGTTCAGGACTATAAACGGAAGCTGGGTGCATGGCTGGATCCAAACAAGACCTTTCAGTGCTGGAGCCTTCACCAATTAATATCTATCTTTTCTTCAATTAAGTTTCGTTTTTACTATTTTATTTTATATTTATTATTTTTTGGTTTTAATTTCATTTTTTCATTATTTTATTTTGATTTCTTGATTTTTTAAAATTTACTGTGGTATGAAACAGGAACTTTTGCACAGTACACAGAGCCTTGTTGGGAAAAAGGGAGCAGGAGGACATGATTATTCTCGAGAACGATGCTGCTTCATAGGAATGATGCGCTCAGGTTTTCTCGGGAGACGGGCGTTAGGAACGATTTTGGGTAATCGATTTGCCGCACGCGGCTGTCGCGGACCACTCATTCGACGTTATTACAGCTCTAGCGTTCTTCATACAGCTCAATCGATATGCGATCATTATTTTATGCATAATTCTACTATTAGTACTTTTGTTCTTGTATTTCT